TCTAGAGGAATACTTGTGGGGTTTTGGTTTTTTTTTTCACTTTCTAAAAAATAATTTACAGTTCGTGGGATCAGGTTGAAGTTCCCCCTCCTCTTTTCACCAAAGGGCTGGTCAAAAGTTTTCCAAGTTGAAAATACAATGGGAATTTTTTTTTGTTGTTGTTGTTAGCTCTTGTGGTGTGTAACACTGCTCTGGGTCTGACCAGTCCAATTTTACTTCACCCAAATCAACAGAAGGTGCACAATTCATGGTTTTGGAGCCAGGTTACCAAATGGGATCAGAATGGGATGGATTGGATTAAGAGGTGGGAGGGGGCAACTCCATCTCCCAGGTCACAAATTCTGTGGTGTCAGGAGTAAATCTCTGAGGCATTTATCTGTGTGTGTCTGTACTGCTCAGGGATGCAGCCAGGGAGGTTCAGGGATGGGGGTTGGGGTTTAGTGGAAAGGATGCAAAAATCTACAGCTTCACCTCCAAATTTTGCTCCCTCCCCCTCCACCTTCAGCGCCCAAATGGGGGGAAAACCGAAGGAATTGGTGAAAAGGTGTCACCACCCCAGGGTTAGTACTCCACACTTCTGTGTGGGGAGCACCAAGGGTCAAGATGTTTTACACTGCAAACCCCAAGCAGCAGGCAGGTCCCTGGGAGGATCTGGGAGGGCACATTCCCCTTTCCAGGGCAGGTCCCTGGCTGTGAGATCCGTGTCCTCCCCTCCCGCTGGGCCACCACAGCTGGAGCCAGGCTGGGTGCAGAGCACCCTCTGACTCCCCTTGGTGCCACCCCCGGGGTTGGACAGCGAGATTTCTGTACAGAGAGCAGGGAACAGGGGTTGGCATCTCCTGGGGGCTGCACAAGGACAGTTCTGCACCCAGGGGCTCACGGCAGGGCGGGCGAAGGAAGCGGCTGCTGACACAGGAGGGGAGGCTCCAACTCTGCCAGGGCAGGGACAGCCCAGCTGCCCCCTGTGCCCTGGCCATGGCTCACAGGTGGCTGCAGCCCCAGCTCCCCCGGGGCACGAGGTGAGCCCCAGCTCGCCCTTGTAAAGCACAAACCAGTCAAGACAACTCGACAGCTCAGTTAAAGCAGCTTTTGCAACAGCTCGAAAATTACAACAACACCCCCTACCCCCCCCGAGCCCCAGACAAGAAACACTAGTAGAGTCTGTACTATTCACCTCTAATACAAAAAATATAGTGGCAAGTTCCTAGACACTTATGTTATTCTTGGACAGAACAGTGAACACGGGTACGGATAAAGGTTTTTCCTTGACTCGTGGCAAGGAGCAGAACTCTGGTCCTGCCTCCTGCCCTGCAGACACTGTCACTACCAAACAATTCTCTAAGTGAGTCTTTAATCTCAGAGTGACTGATTTCTTTCTGTCTCGTGTTGGAAAGGAGATTTTTGCTACCATTTCTGCTGGTATTGGCAATGAGAGAAAAGGCATTACTGGAAAATGATTCGTGATGTTTGCCAGCATATTGAGTGTTGTTTGTGGCTACAGGTGTTGTGTGGTTTAAGTTACTGTGTTTGCTCAGGAATCCTTTCAGTCATTTTAATTAGACCACTGTTATTTTTCCAGGAAGGGGCAGAGGTGCCATTTCACTGCTCCCTGGAAAAGCCTCCAGCCTCTGCTGGAACAAGGACGGTGTCCAGGGAGTAATTCCACCAAACCACAGCCCAGAAATGAACAACCCCTGGAAAAGCTCCCTCGGCTGGGTTAACGTGGCAAAGGCCCTCAGTGAGTTATTCCCACCACCTCTGCTGCTGGGGAACAGGTGGAGAAATTCCTGGGGATCAGTGAAATCAGAGAAAGGCCAGAAAGGTGAATTCTCCAGATCGTTCACGGCCGGTAAGGACTTGGAAATCTGATTTCCTGGTTTTCCACTCAGTTAATTACCTTCCAAGAACTAAGCAGCCCCTTTGCCTAAATCTGTGTTTTACAGGCAGAAACAGCCTGGAAAAAAAAAAGCCTGACCTCGTGAGCAGGCAGCCAGCAGCAGTTCCTCCCCTGTTCTAGTTCTCTGTGCACACAAAGCTGGATTTTTTTGTGGTGAGAAATATGCTCTGGAATTTATCTGTTACTGAATGTGGTAAAACTCACAAGTGGGAAGAAAAGAACGGCCCTGTGGTGTGATGTTGATACCCTGGAGTCCTACAGGATCCATGTTTGGGTGATTTATGCTGAACAAGCTTCTCTGAACCCGCTGCAGGCCAGCGATGCCCGGAGAGGGGGAGAGCAGCTGCTGCCAGAGACAAAAATAATAACAAACCCAGCTCCCCGTGTTTGAAGGGAATTGGGCTGATATCTTTTCATCTATTACAAAAAGGCCAAGAAAATTTTTGTGGGAGTTCAGGGTTGTACAGACTGCAAAATGAGCTTTATGGGTGCTGGGGCTGGCGGAGCTGGGGCTGCACGTTGTGCTGACACAACTGTAAGTCATTTTTAGAACGCAACTATTAGTCTTAAATGACTCACAGCACAGAAGCACCTGTGCTTAGGAAGATGAAAATATATTAGAGCAGATTCTTTGGTGATGTAAAGTCAAAATGGCTGTTTCACCTGATCAGACTCAGGGCAGCCAGATGGAATCTAAAGTGTGCAAAATTACATTTCTCTTACCTTCTAGTTGGTGAAGATTGCTTTTCAAATGTAATAATTTATAAAATGGAAGAAAGGAATACATTTTTAGGTTCTGGCCTCTAATCCTGCTTCAGGTGCTCCTCTACATCTGCATTTTGGATCAAATCCTATGTAGGTATACAGAGCTCCAGAAAGTCTGTTTAAGAGCAAAGGAAATGTGCAATATTGGGGCATTTCTGGTTCACTGGAACAACACAAGAGCATCAAAACAATCCATAACAGGCAGAAAAACTCGAGAGCTGTTGATCAGACTCTCAGAATTTAAGATCAGTAACAAAGAAGCTGCTTTAGCCAAAGTGAAGATAAAAACAGGGAACAAAACCTGAGGGGCAACAGCAAAGGCAGCCCTGCCCTCGGCCACAGAGAAGGAGTTTCCTTTCTGGCAGTGTCAGAGTTAAACATTTATTCCTTTTCAGACACTGGACATCCTGGGAACCTGGATTTTGGAGGACACCAGCCCAGGGAGCTGCTGGGTTTGTCTCAGTGTTCCCAAGCTCTGAGCTGAGAACAAATTCCCTGCTGGAGGGAGGCTGGAGCTGGTTTCCCAGACAACAGCAGCTCTGGGTGCCATTCCTTATTTTGGTCTTTTTTTTTTTTTTTCCCCCTGATTCCCAGCATTTTGTCCAATGAAGAACAGGTTCCTGAGGAGGAGGACTGGCAGTCACTAGAAATGTAATTCAAACCCAGATAGAACCATGTGCTGCTAAAAGCAGTGACAGCCTGCTGCCAAACGAGCTGGTGTTTGTGTCTCAGCCCCAAACCTGCTCCCCCTGCAAACAGCAACCAGCCTGTCAGGCTCTGTGAAATCCTAAAGTGCAGAAAACCTTTGCAGAAGTCTCAGTATTTCTAAGTCTCAGACTATTCCAAGCCTGCTGAGCCGGGAAGGCAACAATGACATTTGCAGTTCCAGAGCAGCAGGAACAAGTCCAGAGTTGTTGGTCAGACTTTTTGGACCTGGAATCCTGGGTAAAGAACAGCTTCAGATTGTTAAGAGATTTGCTCTCTGTGGCCTGTTGTGCAGCTCTGGGTCAAAAACAAGGGTGAAAAAGCCCCAGAATGCCCCTTTTCAGTTCCTTTCATTTCCATAAAGCTCCCGAAGCCTCTTTTCTGTTCCTGCTTTCTCCTGAACGTGCTCCTGCTGCCCACACTGACCCAACGAGCACCCTGGCTGATTGTAAAGGGCAGGAGTGAAAATAGGGGTTAAATTTGGCTCAGCCCCAGTCCCACCAGGCCCCTCGCTCACAGTGACAGCTCTTTTTGGTTTGGTTGAAGTAAGAAATTAGATTTGGATGAAATGGGTAAAAAAAGTAAGGCGAATTCTCCAGCTGGATTCTGACTGGGGTGGGAAATGCAATTTGTGGCTAAACCAGGTGTAACCCAGCCAGCTTTACATCCCAAGCTGTGCAAAGGAACCAAGCCCATTTCTGGCAGTGCCACGTGGGGTTTATTGTTTCAGCCTGAAACCAAACCAAAATTAAGCTGTGCTGATTGACTTCACCTTCACTTAGTTTAGCCCCAGAACATGAAGGAATAATAAAAAAAAAAAAATAAAAAAAAAAATGTGTAAACTTGCTAAAGTAGGGCTGGAAATTTCCCACGTGTTATTTGGTTATTTAAATCCACCCCCCCAAGGAAACAGTTTTTGACCAAGTCAGAGTTTGCAAACCAAGAAAATTAGAAAGTTCCTCTTGAGTGTGCAACATCCCAATTTCCCAGAGAGGGGTTTTGGTCTGTAATTTTGGGAACAGAGCAGGCAGGAAAGCTCTGCAGCAAATGTACATTCATTAAGGGATTGAATTTTTAAAAGAAATGGTCTGGAATACACATGATATGGAATAATTATGAGAATCTTCTAATTCCTCAAACATCTGAACAGGATAAGGCCAAATGGTCAGTTTTCCTGTAGCAGACATAAAGTGACAACGTGATGCTCTCAAATGGGATTTTAAACCACTCTTGAAGAGACAAACCTTTAAACCAGGATTAACCTCCAGTGGCTCTAAACATCCACCATCATGTCTGTTGATTTTCACTGGGCATTACATCAGCGTTACTGTTCCTAAACATCCACTGTCAGAACATTTACCTTCCACGGCTCTGTGTTTTCCCCTTCCTGCCCCAGGACTGACAGATGTGCAGTTTTTGTTTTGGACTTTACCAGGTGAGTCTGAAAGGAGGGGAGGACGGGGAGAAGGTCGTGTTTTCCTCATCACCAGGTGATTTTTTTTTTCAGCAGGGCTGCTTCTGCTCCTCCCCCTGGGACAGGAGTTTCCCCCCACAGGTGCAGAACCCCTTTCCTCCCTCCCTCCCTGCCCAGGGAACCCCGGTGGCAGATCCCAGAGTTGTCAGTGGGAAGGGGCTAAAGGCCGTTCTGGCGGCTGTGGCTGAAGTCGGGCTCCTCCAGCTCGGGCTCGGGGGGCTCGGGGGGCTGGGAGTGTGTCCTCCCAATCTCCTCCAGGGCACAGGCCAGCGAGTCCAGGTCCCCGTCCTGCTGGTGCCGCGCTTCCCACAGGTCCAGGATGACGGCGGAGGGGCTGCTCTGGGTGGCAAAGTAGGAGAGGTTCCTGCGGGGAGGGAGGAAAAGGGGGGGGAAGAGGATGAGGAGCAGCTGCCACTGCCCCAAACCCTCCAGCAGCAGCTGGGGGGGCTGAGCTGAGGAGCCCTGGAGAGGACCCACCATTTACTCCTCAGGTGTCCCCTGGCCAAGCTCAGCAGAGGGACAATGCCCAGGGGACTGGCCCAGGAATGCTGCAGCCCCAGCCCCGTGGAAATGAGGAAACTGGCCTGGAGAGCACCATTAGGAAATTCAGCAAAGGATTTGACAGGCAGAGCGTTTACATAACATCAACTGATGCCTGTGATTACGTAAAGAGCCGACATCTTCTAGTTTGTGATCTGTGTTTTATCAATATGCAGATTTTAGGGCTCTGCAGGGGCGATATTCGCAAAGAATTCGGTAAAAGGAAGTGTGTTTACCATAAACACTTCTTTTTTTTTGGTTCAGATGTGGCTTGTGGAGATTCCCATGCACGGCAACAAGTCAATGGAAAGTCAGTTTGCTTGATTTAAGTATTGCTGTGCTCTCCTGGGAACATATTTATGGCTATTTCTGTCAGTGAACTTCCTCTGCCAATTTAATTCAGCCAAGCAGAAGAAGCAAAGTAAGTAGTAAATTGGTTTTTACAGCATCTTTCAGTTCTAATAATCATAATACTATTATTACCCCTAACAGAAGAGCACGACTGTCTTTTCCTTAAAAAAACCCAACCAAACAAATCTGCACTATTCATTTTGGAACCCAAACCAAATCAGCAGGAGCCAGGACAACAGGTCATGGGATTTTTTTAAAAAATTTTTTTTTCAGAGAGAGAACATGCAGCCCCTTAAAACTTTTTCTTAGTAGGCAAGAGTGCCAAAACCCTCCTACTGAAGTCTAGGACTTCACCAAGACTTGTGTCCAGAGCAAAGAACTGCCCTTCAAAAGGGAGAAGCTGTTCCCAGCAGCTGTTTGCAGATAAAAGCAGGTACTTGAGAGTCCCCTTAATGACTCCTTAATTAATCCTGGCAAACAACCAGCCCTTTCCCAGGTCAGTGCTCCCCTCTCTCACCTGTTGATGCTGTTTTTCTGGGCCAGCATCTGCCAGTCCTTGCCCTTGGCGCTGGGGGTGTCGAAGGTGGCGCAGATCCGCTGCCGGATGGAGAAGGGGATTTTGAAAGCCTTGGGACCCACCTGGGCAGGGAAGTTGCTGTCGTCGTGTGCAAAGAAGGTGATGGTTTCTCTTTCACTCTGCAGGGAACGGGAGAGCAAAGCAAGTTGGATTCGAGGATTCAAACCCGAGGCGGAGGTTCCTCCCTGCAGCTCGCAGAAAATGAAACAGGTGAGAGGTGGGGCTTTTGGGGTTGTGGAGGAGCTCCCAGAACATCATAAGGACTTGTGTATAAAAGCATTTAAAATAGTAATATTCTATTTTACTATATTCTCTCTATATTCTAGGAGTTTTGGTTTTTGGGTAACTTTGTGTTAGAGATGGAGTCGAACAGAGCAGTGATGGGTCTCTAAACCTTTCACTGCTTGAGCCTCAAATATGGACACACAAACCTCCCAGTTGTGGGTTTGTTGGTTTGTTTGTTTGTTTGTTTTTAAAATTTTTTTTAAACCACCTGAATTCTCCAAGAACCTCAGTCCTCCCAACCCCTTGGGAATCCAGGCCCTCTGCAGATCTGTCCCACCTTTTGCTGTGGAATGAGCCCAGTCCCGTGTGCCAGAGCCCCATTTCAGGGCTTTATCCCTTTGAGCAGCATCAATACCAACTGACAGAGGTGGAGTCCCTTCACAGAGCATTTCTGACACGTCCCCAGAGCCAGCCATGCACAGCAGCAGGTGCTGGAGATGCCTCAGCTCTGCCTGGTTGTGTTAAATATGCACAAGAGTGGATTTCCATCCCCTGCACATGGGAGATAAGCGACAGCGACCTGGGCAGCTCTGGGAATTGTAGCCCAGTGAGCAACTCCAGTGAGCAGTTGTTGGGTTTGTACTTATTCTGCAGTCAAATTATCCTCACTCTTCAATCACTGCTGGAGATAGGCATGAGAAAGCCCTCTGTACCAGCAAATTTGTTTGAAGACAGGACTTGACACGCTCTGGGGACTTGTGTAAGGATGGGACCCTTAAAAAAAAATCCAGAGAGGGGAAAATCAAGGCAGCAGCAACACTGCAGTGAGACACACAGAGAGCAACAGAAGATCTGTAGGAAATAACAGCAAAGAACCAGAAAAACACCTGGATTTTTGATACAGGATGATATTTGTGGTTCTCTTGTGCAGTTGCTGCATTCTCTGCAGAGAGCATTGAGCAGTGGGTGGACAGCTTTAACCCAGAACTACTAATCTGGATTAATCAACAAGGTTTTCACTGCTCTAGGACAGATCACCAGCCTGCTTGACTATGGGTTTGACTTCTTTCATCAGTGAGCAAGGCCCCAGTGCCCAGGAGACACTGTGAGCACCCATTTTCAACTCCCAGGGCTCTGCAAACTCTGCCAAAACTTCTTGCAAGAAAACCACAACCACCAACCCGAACAGGAGCTGCTTTTAGTGCTGCAGAATCTCTGTGCTTAGATTTCTGCTGGAAATGGAACCTGTAAGGCTTTATAGACTACACAGAGAGGGGAAGGACAAAAATGGGGAGGGAACTGGCACAGGTTGCCCAGAGAAGCTGCGGACGCCCCAAGGCCAGGCTGGACGGGGCTTGGAGCCACCTGGGCTAGTAGGAGGTGACAGAGCAAGGGAACAAAGCCAGCTGAGAGCAGCCCTTACCTCGAGGATGGAGGTCTGGACGTGCAGGACCTGCTCGTGGCCCTTGAGCTGCCTGACACAGACCTTGCAGCTGAGCTGGGTGGTGCCGGGGCTGTAGCGCTCCAGGGAGAAGGCACAGAGCAGGGGCCGGGCACTGCCACGCCACACCCGTGAGAACGGCACCTCCTGCAGGGACAGCGACAGGGACAGGGCTCAGGGACACGGCACACAGAGCAGAGACAGCCAGGGCCCCTCCCTGCTGCTCTGCTGGACATCCCTTCCAGCCCCCAGCAGCACAAAGCCCACCCGCGACGGTTCCACTGATAAAACACCTTCCCTGAAGGCTGAGCTTTCATCCAGTGAAACAAATGATGGGAGACTCACCTAAAACTTGAAAATATTGCATTTCACCTCCTCCTTACCGAGATCAGAACCCTGACTCTTCTCTGTGTCTCCCTGCCATTTCCCTGTACTGCAGAATCCAAAAAAAAGGAGCTTCCCATCAAGACCTGCCCTGGCTCTGTCAGCCTCCCCTTCTCCACCTGAACCACCCCAACTCTGCCTGTCTCCAGCCCCAGCTGGATCCTGGGCTGGGAGCAGTAGCAAGATACTGACAATGATAAAGAAAACATTTGCAAAACAAGTTACAAGTGGAGCAACCATAATTGGATTTTTTTTCAGGGTAATCATCTCTGCTTTCATCCCGAGTGGAAGAATCACTCGGCTGAAAAGAATCACACGAAACAATACAGAGGGACAACGTGTGGTGAAGGATGAGTGGTTCAAGTATTCCAGAAATGCTTTCAGTTTCATTCTGCCTTTATAATTAAGTTCCCAGCAGAGACAGGGAATGTAAATCATCTCCAGACAGAGCCCGGATCCTCCCAGGGACACGAGATGGGGGGAACACAGCTGCTTTCAGCCCCCAGAGCTGCCTGCCTGCTTTCTTAGCACACTGCTCACTGCCCCTGCCTGCTCCAGCACCCACTCAGCTCCCAAGGGTTCCCCCAGTTCCCAAGGGTTCCCCCAGTTCCTTGGGAGCGGGGTGGGAAGGGAGCCAGGAGCTCGGCAGCTGCTCCTGCAGCAGGGCCAGGACAAACAAACAGTTTGGAGTCTGGAGGAATCCTGGCACCACCTGCCATCCACTGCTCTGCAGCCAGTTCTACAGCAGGATTTATTCATCCCCCCGAGCTGAGGGATCACTGACACACCTCTCTCCTCATCCCACTGGGATGGTGGCACTGGTGGAGCACAGTTCTGGCCCCTCTGCTCCTCACAGGCAGCACAGGCAGCTGCCTGCACAGGGTGGGACGTGGCAGAGAAGCCAGGGAGCCCTGCAAGGAGCTCCACGGGCACAAACAGAGCCTTTCATCTCTCAAGAGCCTGGAACCAAACCAGAGCTGTCACCAGACACCTCACTGAGGGGGAAACACAAAGCCAGGGCAGGTTCTGCAGTTCCTCTTGGAGACAATTATTGTGTTCCTGAGCTGGCCAAGTCATGCCAACTACACTCAGTTATAGAATGGGAATATTCCTTTGGTTCAGTAAGAGCCCATTGTGGCAGCAGAGGTTTTGCACAGGCTTTTATTTAACCCCAAGTCCCTGCTCTGATCAGACTCTAAACAGCACTTTGAGGCTGAATTTCAGTCTGTCACACACATTTATTCTTCAGGCCTGGACAAGGATCAAGAGGCAATAAATTAATCAAAGTGTGGAGCTGTGTTCCATCCATGAGGCAGAACTCAATTTGTTGTATTTAGAGAAAACTCCCATGATTTTCACTGCTTGGGCACGTCCTACTCCTGGTGGGCATTTGCTGTAGTAGTGGGGCATCCTAACACTGAGTGGCTTGGCTTTTAAAATGCAGTTCAGTGAGTAGAATAAACAAAACACTTAAAAGCTGTTCTTCATAGGAAGCTGAAAATGATTTGGTTTCCCTCACTTTTTAAGCTGAAGCATAAATTATCCCTATATTCCTAATGAGGTAAGACTTCATCTGGCTGTGGATCTGTGTTTATAAGTTTCAGAGCCCATTACACTCATGTTTTGGAGAACATGGCAACACATTTAAAACAGTTTTTTTGCCAAAATACTGAATGAGAGATAATTGTCTCTCTGCTTCTGGGAAAAGGGAGATTATATAGTCTAATTGAGTTCTGTATTTTAAGACCAGCCCACTCCATGTGCCAGCACATCACTTCTGATTCCCAGTAACCCACATCCTTAGAAATCCTTCCTTTGTTTTGATTTTCCCTTTCCGCTTTTCAACAGCCTCTTTAATTAATGGAGTGCAGAAAAAATAATTTGCAGCTCTTCAGTTCTAATTCTTGGTATCTGCACGCTGTGCTTTCAACTCATGATTAACATTTAAATGTCATTTGCAGCCACGTGTTCGCAGTTGTCTCACAACTGGAATAACAGGTATCAGAAACATCTTCAGCAGTGATAAGCTTTAACAAGAGTATTGGCCTTCTGACTCATTTTTGTTGCATGCCCAAGAGATTTAAACCAAAACAGAAGGTACCACTGCCTCATCTGGGTTCTGCCCATCCCAGTGCAAACCTGAAGAGGTAAAATTGCCAAGTACCTGACACGCAGTAAATGGTTTAATTCTCCAAAGGAAGGGAGGGATATCAAGGACTGAGATCTGGAGGCTGCAGGTATTTCCTTTAAAATGCAGAAGTTTTGGTTCCTCCAGCAATTGTCCTCCTTGGAGCCTTTCATCTGAGACCACCTCCTGCAGGGGCAGAGGAGAGAATTGTGTCAGTATTGGGAATAACCCCCAAATTCACCTGTCCAGAGGTGTCTGGGTCACCCACAGCACACCAGGAGTGTTCCTCTCGTGGGCCAGGGGATGGGACTGGTGTTCATACACCCCCATCCCAGTTCAGGGCACTCAAAGGCACAGGAACATCCCAAAGCAGTGCCTGCAGCTGGAGCCAAGAGCAGCTTGGCTGGGAAACCTCTCCCAGGGCTTTCAGAGCACTCAAACACACCAGGTCAAACAATTCAGCCTCAGTTCTCCTCTCTGGGGCCTCTTCAGAGTCACTGGACAAGACCCTGAGCAGTCTGAAGGGCAGACTTGGAGCAGGAGTTTGTATTACAGTCCTCCAGAGGTCTGTTCCCAGCTACATTTTTATGTAATTCTGTGAATTTAAAGCATAATAGTAAAAAAAAAAAATAAAAAAAAAATCACCCCTGCCTGTGCTTAAGCAATGTTTACTCCTGTGCTGAGACAGTAAAAACACCAGTGAGGAAGGAAAGGTTGCACAAGTCTTTTTAAAAATCAGCTGGCAAGCAGTCTCTCCAAATTACCTACTTTTTATCCACATAAATTATATCAAATCAAATCCATTGAAGGGGTTCAGTGCTCGTCAGTACCAAAGGTATTGTCAGAAGGGCTCCTGGAATCATTGTGACCTTCTGAAAATTCAATGCCTGCTCGAGCTCTCTGCAACTGTACTAATGGATTCCTATTAGAGAGCAATTTTTACAGTTCAGCTCCTTTTAACTCCTGATGGTCGGGTTTATACGAAGGAAGGAATTAAAAGGGAGGCTTAATTTTTGATTTCCAGCCGCGAGGGGAGTGGATTATTTCATGACTGCTTTCTGAACTCCTCGAAGGTGCTGGATTTCCTTTTTAGTGTGCTGTGGTTCTGTAAATCCTGCTCTGCCTTCAGTGATGCACGTGGGCCACAAACCCTCGGGTGCCCCCGAGGCTGCAGCAAATGACAAAACGCAAAGGGGTTGGGAGAGTTTCCCAAGTCAGAGCTGCCCAGGGGGCAAAGGCAGCTGCTGCAAAAGCAAGGTGGGTTTTCACAGGGGGGCAAAGGCAAAAATGAAGGAACTTGGTACCTCATCCAGGACTGCACTGCAAAGGATTCACTGCCAGACAGAACTTGGTGACCCCAACTCCAGTTCCTCACCCAAAGCTCTCAGTTTCTCCATGTTCACACTAATATTTACATGCCTTTAAGGGCTGTATCATTCTGTAAATATATACAGCTGTCTCACTATCTACAAACACCCTGCTCTCGTTCCTCTGCACGCAGAAAACTGGTAATTATTCTTCTAATAATTTTCTACAGACTCATCAGGAAGATACTGGTACCCACTAATTGTGTAAGTGTTATAAAGAGTATAATTACAAAGCCATTGTAAGACTTTAACAATCCTTCTGGTGGCTCTGCTTTTATTAGAAGCACACAGACACCAGTGAGAGCCGTGTTTCCACTCTGTGAGACAGGCAAGGGAAGGAAACATTCATGTCACAACTGTCTTCAGTTCAGCTCCCTGAAGAAAACCATTTTGTTAAAGCTTCTGGGTTTACTAAGTCTGCAAAAGCCAGTGAATGTCACTGCTTTGTCCTGGAACACCATTAAAAAAATCCTGCTCATTTCAATTGCCTCCTGGGGATTGGTCCTTTTTTTTTTAAAAAGGGAAAATGCACCAAAATTTAATTTTTGTTTAAGGAGATGGTGAGCCAACCTCTTTCTTCTTGCTCCAGTTGTAACTGGGAGAGGAGATCCTGAACTGCTGCCAGCTCAGGGGTGTGATAAAGACTCTCTATCAGCTGGGAATGACTTCCATTGTCTGGGGGGTGCAGACTGAGCTCCAGCTCAGCCCCCCAGCCCCAAAGTTGTGCTGGGTTAAGCAGAGCTGTGGGATTTTGGTTTTCTATCTGCCTGGCAAAGAATGACAAGCCAGTCTGGCTGCCCTGAAGCTCACACAGTGTAAATCCACATGTGCAGCAGCACTGCAGAGAAATCAAGGGACTCACTGCAAGTCACACAGCAGCGGCTTAAAAAAAAACCCCAATATTGTCACTTCTGGTGGAGTTCTGGGCTGTTGGGACAGGACAAAAATAACCAACCCCCAGCGAGCAAAGCGAAGGCATTTACCTGGAATGCACAAGGGGTGTTATCCATGCAATAAACTCTCAGATTGTAATCCAGAGAATTGCAAGACAGGCAGCCAAAAACGGCGACTTTCAGCTGTCGAACGGCGCAGTCAGAGAGGGGTTCCCCAATTAGGGCATAAGTTCCAAAGCTGTTTAAGAGAATGTGACAGGCATAAGGATCCAACAGGCAGTAGCAAGAAGTAGTTTCCTCTTCCACAGACATCACTTCCTGAAAAAACGAAATTCGGGTTTAAAGAAAATAAAAAAAAAAAAAAAAATGAAGTAAAACCAACAGGCCTCGACAATAGGAGTCATTGCATTGCTTATTTTTTATTCAACTGGAATACAAAGTGTTCCTGAGGACCAGGCTGCTCACTCAGGGAAGGGGAGATGGGGGACTACTTGTGTGAGTAAATATTCCCCATTTAGCCCTGAGTCAGCAGGAGGATTTATGGCCATGCATTGTGCAGGCCCCGATGTGTGCAGCATACAACAATAATGATGGTGTGTAAGCAATTTTAGCATCTTTTTTCAAGTGCTCTCGACTTCCCAGCTAATTCTTTTTTCCCCCCCAATGTCAGGTTAAAAAAAATTACCTCGAGGATTAAAGTTCAATAAGCAAACCTTGAACAGTAGCTGGGACTTGACTGGCTTCCAGAACCCCCACTGCAGTCACGTTTTCCCTTCATCAGAAATCTCCCTGTCCCACTGAGCCTCTGAGGCTCAGCCCTGCTTTGCAGCCCCACCAGAGGAGGGACCTGCTGATTCCCCCCCAGTTCCAGGGGGTTTGGGACCCACACTGATGGAGCTCACTAAGGAAATCTAAAGCAGGAAAACCAACCCGACCTGGAAATGGTTTAAAGGGGAGCAACAAACCACGCAGTGGTTTAGAGGAGGCAAAGCACACAGAGGGGTTTGTGGAGCCCAGGAATGGATTTTGTATCCATAAATGTTTTAACTGCTAATTTTTCCCCCCCCTCACAGTGCAATGAACCAACCAGCAGCAGCAGCAGTGCAATAAATCCATTGCCTATGGATTTGTGTCTGGTTACTGGCTCTGCTGTGCCCTTTCCATCCTGTGTGGATTTGTGGAATGCTGAGTAACAGGTTGGGTCGTGTTTTACTTTAGGAGGGTTCTCAGTCTGTCTCCCCAAATGACACAGAAAGTTCAGGCCATCTGAGATTGCTGCCCCCAAACAGCTCCAGCCCAAGGTGGCCACTGGCATTAAAACTGCCAGTGGACAGACTGAAACCATCAAATCCTCCTGTTACAAACGCACAAAGCTTTAATCTCCTCAGCCAGGCAGGATTAAGAAGTAGATGTTCAACTAAAAAAGCACAATAGTTTAATGTGCACTAATCCTTCAGAGGCTCTGGGCACAGCTCAGTCACTGAAGGCTGTGCCCAGAGACATGAGATTTTTAAACTGGGAGGGTCCTTCTGTGCTAAAAAAAATAATTAAATTTTTAATAATTTTAAAAAATTATCTGCAAGCACTTCTATAACTTCTTCTGTGCCAGGATAAACTGTTGTGTGGACACAATGTTCTGTTCCGACACTGAGCCTCTTTGGGAGCTGTGATCAAGCAAAACCACGTTTTTCCAAATAAATCTGAGAAAACTGAGCACTGTTTTCCAGCCATGGGGGTGGGTCACAGAGCTGCCCCTTTGCTGCAGTGCAAAAATGGGGTTTAATTGCTCCTCTCGGGGGTGTCTGTGCCTGTCACTGCTGCAACCTCTGAGCTGTGCCCGCACGGCCAGGGGGGTTCACTGGGGCTGGTACCACCCTGGCAGGGGGCTCTGGCCTTACCTCCCACTTCCCCTGCTGGGTCCTCCTCTTGAGGTGGATGTTCCAGTGCTGGGGGTCGGCGTGGGCGCAGTGGGGGATGGTCAGGGCGAAGGGGGTGCTGACGGTCACCTCCGAGGGCCCGCAGGTCACCTCCGGCCCCAGCAGCACGGCCGAGCCCTCGGGCTGCAGGCTGGGGGGAGAGGGGAGGCAGGGATGTCTGTCAGCACCAAGAATTCACTTCAACTGCAGATTTCCAACTGTTTTAGTCAAGGTCTCAGCCCCTCACTCATCTGTTAGAGCAGAGGATGAGCAGGGGAATTCCTGTGCTGGAACGAAACCATCAGAGCCCATCTAACTCCATCCCTTGGTCAGCTCAGGATTCTGGGATTCAAAGCACATTCCAGTTTGTTTAACCCAGATCCAACACCGAACTTGCTGTGTGCAAGCAAGCCCTGCTTCCCTGCACCAGCTGGTCCCACCACGCTCTGCCTTCCAACGCTGCCATCCACAATATTTTCACAGTAACCAAGATAAAACAAATTATGGCTTAAGAAAGGCAGGCTCATAAATTTTTCCAGATTGAGTGTGATCTCCCTGGTTTGAAAGCCCATTTATATTCTGCAGGATGAGCAGGCTCAGTAACTCACAGGGGCACCAGGGACGGGCCTTTGCTCAAATCCAGAACTCTGCAAAGTGGATCCGTGCACGGGGCTCCAGGACTGCCAGGGGAGAGCCCACCAGCACAGGTCCAGGGATTCATCCCATCTGAATTCAGCCCATCTGAATTCATCCCCCATGCCTGGTTGCATTACCTGCTGGCTGAGTTATGGAGATGAAGCATCTGACAAGAATCTCCTCACCTGGACTCCTTCTGAGTGATGGCAAGGTAGATTTCCCAAGAACTCTCTTCAGGAATAGCTCCATGTGGGATCAACAGACTGACTCCTACAAAAAAAGCAAAGGCAGACCTTCCCTTTGGGAACGGCACAGGATGCAAAGAACACTCCCCACACCCCCTGGGCCCTGATGGACACCTACAGAGGTGCCCAGCACAGGAATGTTCCTCCAAAACTGAGCTTCTGACTGCACTGTCATCAGATGAAAGGAAAATACATTATTAAAGGAAATAAAGACATTATTTTTCCATTAAAGGAAAACACATCTTTTCCCCCCAAAAGCCTCTCGAAAGCTCTTTGCCCCTTTCCAACTCTGAAATCAAAGCTGATAATTCCAGGATCATGAGGAATCACCTTTTTGTTCCTACACATGGTAACTCATGAATCCAAGTGATCCCATCGTCCTTTTTCTCCACCAGGATAAAATCAGAAGTTAACAAGGAAGCTTTCCACTGAAATCAAACTGCTGGGTCACACCCTCAGGAGAGGAAGGATGTATTTGACTTGGCATGTCACACAGTTCAGAACCTCAGCAAAGCAGTGACCTGATCACACCACAGTTCACAACTGGCCAGCAAGGATGGGCTTACATAAAGGCAGAATTACATAAACTGCAAGTGGACCAAATACATATTTAAATAATCTAATTGATGGGACTACCATTATATAAAGTAGCTAAATATACAGTGTGAGGGAATTCTTAATTTATGCCTTAACTGACTTAGTGCCTCTGCCTCTGTAACATTCATTCCCGAGCATGAAAACAATCTGGGAAGAAATTAAAACTCTCCATGTGTTGTGCATGATTGTGCACTAGTGGTGCATCCCTCACCTGTACATTGTTATCAATCTTCTCTAAACACAAACCACATTTTTTATGGTAAGCTTTGAAGTGCCCATTTGATGAAACATGAAGGATAAAGCTCTGAATCATTCAGTTCGACCAGAGAGCAAGAGAAAGGCCTGGACACACCAGGGAAATGAGAACAGCTGAATTTAGAGTGAGTGAAGTTCACCAGAGTTTGAAAGATGGTGACAGCTCTGAGCTGCCAGGGGGGGTATCTGGCTTTTTCTGCTCCCTTTGCCTTTTTGGAAAAGGAAATTTTTCCAGCAAGGTGCAAACACAGCCACAGGGTCCAGCAGGGCTGGGGGCTGAACACCCTCTCCTCCAGTCCACCCTGCTGCTGGGTGTGCTCAGCTGCTTCAACAAACAGCTCTGGCCATCTAAACACATCTCACACAACTCTGGAGCCACAAAACAAACTCCACTCCTCAAACAATGTGAACTGAGCACCCCAGAGCCCAGCCCAGCCCTGAGGTGCCACTGACTTTGAAGTGCCCCACTCTGGGAACCTGCCCAGCTTTGATGCTGAGAGAAGAGCAGAGCAGGAAGGCAGCAGGGGCTGATCCCAAAATCCCCCCCAGGGGCTGCTCTCCAGGGCTGGCTGCTCCTCCTGTGCTGCTGACCCCGGGCTCAGCACCAGCCTGGCACTGGGAGCTGGAGAGGCTGCTTGGGATGTGAGCCCGTCAGATGAGATGCTGATCCAACACCGACCCCCTTCCCAGGGAGCCCTTCCTTTGGATCAGCATCCAAGCAAGCAGCAGCTTTGATTAATGTGACTTTCATGCTGAAGACTTCAAGAGAGGCAGTAATTTAAAACAGTTCAAATAGGCATAATGCCTCCTTCCTCCTCATCCCAGGCTTTCTTCTGATCACTCATCTCCTGTGTGGGCAACATGCCCTACTTCCCAAAATCTGCATTAAAGGGAGCCCCCACTTCTTCTTTCCTCGCCTTTTTTTTTTAAAAAAAAACTTAGTTATAAAACACTACACCAGGCAGGCTCATCTGAAACAATTCTTTTAGGTGCTTTGAAGGAGGGAGGATCCACCCACCTGTGTTTGGGACCACCAGGCGGCCCCCCAGGTGGCCGAAAAGGGCCGTGGTCCTGAGCTCGCTGGCGGTGGAGATGGAGGCCAGGTTCTGGATGTACACGGCCTTGCTCCTGCCCTGCACGGTCCCAAAGGCTCGGTGGGGGACGTTGCCGTGGGGGAAGGTGCCGGGGTGAGCCTTGCCGTGGAATTCCGCCCGCTCCGTCACGCCCAGGGACACCATGAAGGAGCTCTGCACCTTGACCTTGATGTCGGACAGGGGGTTGAACAGGGACGATTCCGTCATGAGCTCCTTGTCCAGGGGGTCCTGCAGGCAGATGGGGCCGCTGTAGGTCCTGCTCACCGTCAGGTCGGGCTGCATGGAGGAGTTCAGGAGCAGGGAGTTACCTGTGGGAGGAGCAGGGAGCTGTGACTGCTCGGGAATGTCCCCTCGGGAGCCCCTTCCTGACCCTTCCCTGCTCAGTGACCTGCTCCTCCTTCCTCACACCCTCTGAGCTCCAAATCACATCAGGCAACATTGAAGAACAAAACCCATCAGGCACCAGCTCCAACATCGCTGAAGAACAAAACCCCATCAGGCACCAGCTCCAACATCGCTGTTTCCCACACTCCAGGCAGCTCCAGAGTGCAGGAACCCAAGAAGGAGCTTCCTTTTGTCTTGGATTCGAGTTTGTGTGTTTGCCTTTTTCCTTTCTTGGTTTTTCTGGGTTTTTTTTTTCTCCCCCTTACATCAAACCCCCCTGGGTGAAAGCAGAGCTTCCTGCAGACCTCTTCTGTGAGCTCACACCAAATGATAACTCCCTGCCTGAGGGGAACCAGGCTGAAAAGAAAGTGGGACAAGAGTAATAGGGGGGAAAATACCACAGTTATTCATTTAGGGGCCTTTAAGCTCACAAAACACTCTGAAAAAAAAAAAAAAAAGAGAAGGAATGGATGGATTTAGGGCCCGAATCCTTTTTTGTTTGTTTTTTTTTGTTTGGTTTTGTGGCAGGATTTTTTTGTTCAGTCGGTCGCTCAGTTTTTACAAACCCAAGTTTTCCAAAGTAACTATTTTTCTGGAAATTATCTATACTGTATCCTTGAAAACCTGATCCCTTTAAAGGACTGCAGGATGGTTTGCCAACATTATAAACACATTTCTCCAAAGAATAAAGTTTGGATCACACTAATCTGTTGTCCATTGGTCAGGACTGGGCTCTCTTTTCTCAGCAAACTGAACAGAGAACTGGCCTTTTTTTTCTACTGAATAGTTTACAAACACTCTCATTTAAAAGCCCCACAGACAGAGAACCCAAAGTTACTGAAACTGAACTAATAAGTTAAGGAATTGGTGTGCTCAGGTATTTTCAGAGCATCCAGAACTAATGGCTTTAAACATTGGGTCAAATGAACAATCCTCCAGACTCAAAACAAGATTTAAACTGAACCACAAAGGAAAAGTGCCCGTGTGAGAGTCACTGAGAACTGCACAGCTCTAATTAAAGGCTTGGGTTTAGCAATGAATGACTGAACCTCCTTCAAACATCCTTGTCTACCCAGCCCTTTTCCCAGTTCCCTGCTCGGTGAGGGATGTCTCCCACCACAGAAAGAAACTGTAAAAACAACAACATTAAAAAAAGAAAAAAAAAAGGCCCCAAACAAACTCTGCACCATATTTCCCTTTTCTGCAGAGGGAACAGAGACATGGGGCTGCTTTCACACCCCACCAACACACCACCCACTGCAGGCAGCCCGGGCTGGGGAGAATGGCAGAACAGAACCAGGAAACATTCTGTTTTCATCACTGTTCCTGTCCCTCCCCACCTGTCTGTCCAAAGGAAATAACATTCCAGAAAACACCAGAGCTGCTTTCACTGAATCTTCTGTCCACGTTTCATGGCACTAGTGGGGTTTTTGGGGCTTCAGGGGGTTTTTACACCCATTTATTTCCCACAGACCTCAGTGCTATAACCTGCAAGTTGGGGTTCTGAAATTATCAGTAACTAACTAGCTCTCAAACTAACTAGTTCTCAAATTATCAGTAACTAACTAACCACTCTTACTGGAGTAAAGGAGAAGTACCTGAAGGAACCACAGGCAGTGCTGCCTGGGTTTGCTCTGATTTGCTTCAATCTGGGCTTTTCCTAAGTCAGTGTAAAAGCTGGGAACAGGGTTTCCAGAGCCTCTGGAGCGTGGTCAGGAAGGATTCTGTGTTTGCCCAAGCTGCCAGGGCAGGGCAGTGGCAAAAGCAGCTCCCACCAGCAGGTCCTGCCCCTGCAGGACACCCTCCCCAGCCTCTCTGAGTATGTGTGTGCAGCGGGGGCTCTGGGGGGAAGGAGAACACGAAACCACGGCACTCACCTCGTCTGACTGCCTTCAAATGGAATGCGTGGAAAACACGAAACCACGGCACTCACCTCGTCTGACTGCCTTCAAATGGAATGCCTGGGGGCCTCCCGGGAGCGCAGAGGGATCAATGAAGGAATCAATGAAGGAATCAATGCCATCCCCCCCAATACTCACTCTGACTGCGCCTGTAGAGCGTCACGGCCACCACCAGCACGGCCACGGCCAGCACTGCCGCCCCCAGCCCCGAGTACAGCGCGATGTCACTGGCAGTCTCCAGATCTGGGGGGAGAACAAGAGGGCACAGGGTCAGGAATGTCGGCTGGAAGGAGCAGGGGGGGCTCTGGGCAGCCCCAGAGGAGCGGGAGATGCCAGCACGGAGCAGGTCCTGGGAGCAGAGAGAGCGCTGGGAGCGACCACCCGGGAGCAGGAGCAGGTTCCTGAGGGGTCACTGCACACAGCAGGGATTCCTCTGGTTCAGGGCGGCCCCCGTGGCCCCCACAGGTTTTCCAACAGGAGAGCTGGGCTGTGAGAGCAGCAGAGCTCGTCCCTCTGAGCTCCTGGCTGAGCTGGGCCATCGCTTCCCACTCCAGTCCCCCGGAGAGCACTGAGTGTGGAACTCCAGCCTCAAAGGGAGCATGAGGAGCTGCAGCCAGGAGGGCTCAGCAGGACTTTCATCTCCTGCTGGCTCTTCCAGGGACGTGCAAGTTCTAGGTTTGGATTCTGGAGCTCACCCAGGAGGTCACGGATCCTCTGAAGAACCCGAGTGCAGATTTCCCTCTCCTCCTCCCTGCTGTGTGAGCTTTAGGAAGGAACACTCCATCCTGTCCCAGCCCAGAGCGGGGCTGGGGAGACCCCCCAAACATCCCTGGGAGCCCCTTCAGCCTTTAAAATCAGGCTGGAAACTGAACCTTCCCCGTGGCTGTGCCCAACACACGAACCCACAACCAAGTTTTCCACGACTCCAAACTTTGACAGCGGAGAAAAAGAATCCCTTGCTCTGCCAGAACGGATCCAAATGAAGACTGCAATATTCCATAATTGAAATATCCAGCCCTGCTGTTCTAGGTCTGCTGGGATTTGGGACAGCGTAGCATGAAATTAAATTACTTGGCAAGTGCCCTTAGCGGGTCCTTGGACGGTTCCCTCAATGCCAGCTCCAGTTTGGGGGCAGAGAGCCACGAGTTCACCCTGGGCATCAGCTGCTCCCTGCTGGGGGGGCTCCTCCTGGCACGGGAGAGGCCCCGGGAACACAAACTGCATTTATTTACAACAAGTGACAGGGACAAAAAAAATAAACTGGGGAATCCAGACTGCTCAGAACCCGTACACGAGCTGCACTGCACAGAAATAGGGTGGAAAGTCAAAAATCAGCGTTTAATAAATAGCCAATTACTGAAATTACTTAATTACTGTTTGGGAGGAGGCTTGCCTTGCACTTTCCTGCGGAAAGTCAGATAACTCTGTTTTAGCTGAGCTTTTTAAAGTGATCCCGGAACTTCAGAAGGGTCGGGATGAAAGAAATGAAAGCAATGAAAGCAATGAAAGAAATGAGCACCTCCAGCAGCATTTCCTCGGCCTGGCACCTCCCTGGGATGCAAAACAAGTGTCAGACAAGCGACAACAGCCCGAGCTGAACGTCCTGGGGAGGGGCTGAGCACAGGCTGTTCCTCACCCGAGGCAGCAGAGGAAACCCAGCACCCCCTTCAACCCAAAACAAATGTCTTGGAATCAAGTTTTATGAGAACCATTATTTAGCCAAGAAAATTCCGCTGCATTTCCAAATAACCTCAGACTGAAAAGGGTCCTGCTTTTAACACGTTCACAACTTGCTGAAAAGGGAAAAAAAAAAAAAAATTAATCGTGAAATTTGCGTGCAAATATCAGCTTTGAGAAGAAATCCACCTTCTGTGGCAGGTCAGGACGGGAAATCACATTAATAAACTTATAAATAGCTCTGATCCCACTTCTCAGAACAATTCAATTGCCACACTGTTCTACTGAACCAATTACTAGAGAGAGATATTTTTTTTCTGAAGTATTTTTTTTCATGAGACCCCCTCCCCCCCCTTGAAAAATGTTGTCAAGAGAATTTTAAGCATTTTTGGTGCATCTGAGAATTGCAGAGAGTCAGCTGGGAGCTGACAGTGTAAAATGAGACTGAGGATGGAGATGGGAGACACAAACAAGGAAACACAAACCCAAAGGATCACATCAAGACAACCCAAACCCCAGTCCAAAGCCTCAATCCCACACTGGTTTTACTCTCCAGGATCAGGAGCAGAAAGGGAAGCACAGACACTGATTACACTTCTATTTCTTCCAGTTTACTGTTCCCAAGTTGCTCTGTTGTTACAGGGAGTTAATTATGAGACTCTGTTGCTGACATAATTTTGGCAGGTAATGAGTGCAACGAAGGAGGCAATGGAAGGGATGTGATGGATGCCCAGGGGGAGGAGAAACCCAGCAGCAAGTGGGTTCTTTGCAGAGTGAGCTGTGGTTACTGCACCACAAAGCATCTTTGGGGCTTCCATTTTGAGCATTACTTCAAAGCAGCAAAGGGCTGAAAATCTGAATTACCTTTTCTACCTCTACTTTTATAACGTTGTACCTGGTTAAAGAGCAGAGAGAGAACACAGAACTCAAAACAACCAGAACAAGCAAAATTGTTCTGAGGAGAAGTTTCTTTTCAGTGAATACTTTTGGGTATCCCCAGAACTTGACTTTGACACTGTTCTATAAACTCTATGATTAAAGCCTCTTACAGTTATTCTTTCTGAGTTTCCTTTTCTTTGGGACAATGACCGTGGTTTTGTTCCAGGGAACACCTGGAAGGGTCACTCAGGTGCTCCCAAAACTGTTCCCCTGCAAGGGGAAAAACCCACCACAAAACCCAAGCAACACACGGAGCCCAGAGGCCAAGGATCTCCTTTTCAGGGTTTAGCAGATTTTCAAACAGCTTTCTGTTAAAAGAGCAAAACAAGAGGGACGTGGCATTCCTTGAATTATTCCCATGGAACAGAGCTCCATGAGAAGGAAGACTTCCCTCTTAATTTAGGATGTCAGTATTTCTTTAGAAACAACTGCTGGCTTTTTAAAGTAATTTTAATCTCTTCATCTTTCTCTCTTTCCTTACAGAGAATTCCTCTCGTGGAAGACTAGAAATTAAGGAAAAAAAGGACAGCGTGGGAAATTTGGGGAGGGGGGGGAAGTTTCTGCTTTTATGTTTTCCCAGAAGGGAACAAAGTGAAAAACAAACAAACTAGGAAAGAAAACATTTATAGCCAACCAATTACTATTTAATGAGCTGCATCCTCCCAGCCCGGAGCCAGGAGGGACTCTGGCAAAGCACCACGATTTTTATCCATTTGGGTTCCAGGATCCATGTTTGTGGTAATTGCAGCCTATTTTTCACTCCACCTCCTGACACTGTTACACAACATTTATTGAAAGCACATTTGATGGTAATGAAGTTTCTATTAACTATGATTAAGTTTCATAAAGCACCTGAAGATAATTTAAGATGTGCAGGAGCAGAAAATGAAACATTTGGTTTAGTACATTAGGAACAGTAATTGATTAAATTATCTCATTTACAAGGAGTGCTTTCCAGGAGCTGTGCAGGGCACACCCTTCCCCCTCCAGCAGCAGGGTTTGGGAGCAGATCTGAGAGGTTCTTGCAGCCCCAGCCCTGGCCATGCTGCCTGCTCTCCATCCCTCCCTCCCAGCCCAGCCTGGGCTCCCTTCCCTCCTGGAGCACCAGGAGCAAAAGTCAGAGACTCGTGTGAGAGGTTATTGAGGAGAACAGGTTGTTTCTCAATTATCTTCATAATTGGCTTTGATTTTGCATCACTGATGAGTCATGGAGGCCTGGACCAAGGCCCTGTTCTGCTGAGCAGCAACGAGCTGTGTTTTATGTCTCCAGCCCACAGCTACAACGCAGCCCTTGCATTCCCCAGGTGTCTCCTGGGCTAAAATCAATTCCATTAAAGCTGCTTTGGGGATAAATCAGAAAATCAAGTGATTTCACTGGCATTCTTTCCAGATGCTCTATGAAAGGGGAGGTGCACAGCTGAACACAAGCTGTGGCACAGCCTGGCCACAGGGACCAGCAGGGGAGGACTCGAGGAGACACAGACAGGCCAAACCCAAAAATGCTGAGGCAGCCAGGGCAACCCCAGCACGGCTCTGAGCTCCCTAACTTCCACTTTGGGTACCCTTACAAATGATTAAGAGCCAGGAATGCAAAACTCATGGAATCCCAGAACCACTAAGGTTGGAAAAGCCCCCTAAGACCACCAAGTCCAACCATCAACCAGCACCACGGTCACCACCGAGCCTCGTCCCCAAGTGCCACATCCACGTGGGTCTGGGGACTCCACCACCTCCCTGGGCAGCCCCTTCCAGAGTCTGACCACCCCTTCCATGAAGAGCTTTCCCTAATGCCCAACCTGGACCTCCCCTGGTGCAGCCTGAGGCCGTTCCCTCTCATCCCATCCCCTGTTCCCGGGGGCAGAGCCCAAACCCCCAGCTGGGGCTGCAGGGATGGGGGGCAGGACAGGGACCCCCAGAAAGGGTGACCAGACATTCTGGACACGGGAACCCCCTCAGCAGGTGAGACAGGAAGGCTGGAGGGAGCTGAGCAAGGTCAGAGCCAGGAGTGGAACAGGATCTGGAGCAAGAAAACCAAACTCCTCTATTAATTCCTTTTTTTCTAAGCAGAAGGGCTCAGGAGATCCATCCCAGGACAAGCATTCCTGCAGGCAGGGCTCCCAGTCAGACACAAATTGCTAAGGAGTGATCACCTCTCTGGTTTTAGACCAAAGCCTATGATCACAGAGGTGCTCAGAAGACGCTTTCAGCAGATGCTAAAGCCTTTTATAAAACCTTCCGTGGCACTTAGATCCTAAACAAATAAACCAAATGGCAGAGAAGATGAGAAAAATCATATTTACAAGAGAAAAAAAACAACTTACTTTGGGATTTTATTTCATGAAGAGGTTTTTTATCTGAGAGAGAGAGAAAGAGAGAGAGAGAGAGAGAGAAAGTTGCACTTAATAAATTTATATGGAGCATATCTATTTCCTATATTGCTTCTGTCTCACTCTATAAATGAAACATTTTCTCCTCGTTTGCTGACAATATGAATATTTTATGTTGTCCATATTTTTCTCTTCATCTTATTTTTTTCTAAATCCCTTTCAGGATGTTTCTTTGCAGTAATTTCTCACTTGGTTAATTCGAGTATTTGAATTAGCTCTATTGGCTGCTGTTATTTATTTACATCTCAGCAAGAAGGAAGTTCAATACTTTGCAGTGGATCACTTGGCAAAGAGTCAGTTCAGAATTAATGACTTCTGTGTGTTTGATATATGGGAAGGTGAGTGATGGATACTTAAAAGTAACTCGTAAAATACAAAAATGTAAAGTATATCCATATTTATGCACCTAAACACACCCCAATAATCACATCTATATGTGCATATAAGAACATACAGAACCAATGTACCACCATACATATGCAAATATGGGATAAAATTGGCTTTATCAGGATTGCAGCTCTCAAAAATGAGGCTTCTCTGTCTCCCTTGTCATAATTACAGTTACCATTTATAACCTAAAGCCTGACAAAGGAACCCAGGGCTGGTTGGAAAATGGGAAGTGAATTTCTCTGGGATTTCTGCTGCATCAGTAACACACGTTTGGGGTCGGGCTGTTTATGGCCCAAGTGTTTGTTTGTATTCTGGGCGCTGGGAAAAGAAATCAATAGGTTGGGAAGGTCAGGAAAAAACCAACTTTAAAGCGAACAGATAAAAGTAAAACAAAAAAAAAAACCAAACAACACCCCTCTCTTTTATTAGGCAAAGAAAAAGCTTTCACCTCTGCAAGAGAGAATTCCACCATGGAGAAGGAAACTACTGGGAGGGAATAAACACTGGAAGAACAAATGTGCAGGAAACCAGTGAGTTACTGGGGCTGTGTGGAGCCAAAGCCACCTTTGCACGAGTCAGTCCCCATTTCCCTCCAGCCTGGCAGCCCTGGCAATCTTTGCTATGGATCAATCCCCAGATAATTCTTCCTTTGCACCCAAGTTTGCATCTATCCAGCTGTTACCAGGGCGGGAAGAAATTCCCTGGAAGAAAAGCACTTCCAGCTGCTCCTCAGCCCAGGGCTGGACCCTCGGGATCCATCCAGAGCATCAAGGAGCAAAGGGAGCACAGGGATGTTCCAAATCCTCCTGTCAGGGACCACAGAACCCAAGGGCTGCCCCTGCTTTATCCCCATTTCCTCAACTCCAACATCCATCCCAAGGATCAGGGTTTCCTCTGCCAGCTCAGGGTCCCCCCAATGCTTCCCTGGCACCCTCCACTCTCATCCTCACTTTTTCCTTTCAGTTCTTATTCCTTAACCAAAGGAAGGTCTCGTTTCTATTTCTGCCTCACGAAAGGAACAAAGTTAACAAGTTGTGCCTGATAAATAACCTCCAAGAGATTAGTTTTCTGCAGCACAGAGCTGCATTTCCTCCACGATTCCCCACGGGAGGAGAGGCAGAGCAGGAAAGGCACATATTGGAAGATGAGCAGGGGGAAAAAAAGATTTTTAAAAAATAGGGTAATTGCATCAATTCCTATTAGCTGAGAAAGCAATTACAGTCCTAAAAATAATCTGACACAAGTATACCCCTGCAGCTCGACCCATAAAGGAGAAACTCGGTGGGGGAAGAACCAGGAGACACTGAACACTCCAGTCCAGCTGAATCCATATGGAAACACAGCCTTTGGAGCAGGGATGGAGCTGTTGGAACAGCCTGGGCTGGTGGAAGGTGTCCCTGCCCGTGGCAGGAGGTGGAACAAGATGAGCTTTAAGGTCCCTTCCATCCCAAACCATTCCATGATTTTATGAATCCACAGGACACTCCCTGGCACTGCCTGGCCCAGGCAGAGGAGGGGATGAGATGTTTGAAACCCAGAGAGCTCAGAGGGCAGAGCTGCCCCAGCTCCCCTGGGTACCCAGACAAAGGCACAGGGATGGATGGATGCACTGACACGTACAGAGTTCCCCTCTGGGAATTTTACAAGGCAGCTTTTATCTTTCCTACCATGAAAACCAGCCTTGCTTTAGGGGACACAGACACCAGATGATTTAAAAAAAAATAAAAATAAAAATAAAAAAAGTAAAATAACGTTGCCCTGGTGCCACATCTGTGAACAGAACCCCAAACACACAGACCCTCTCCCTCTCATTTCGTTTGACCAGCCTGTGGATTCTTTGATTATATAATGAAGCTTCAGAGGGCTTTATCCCAGAACAGCTCCTAGGAATGCACTGCTGGAATTAGCAGTAAACATCCCAGTGGTCTTGAGAAACAAGCAACAAGCTCAGCACCATCCTGTGACCCCTGAGAAGGGCCAGACTGACCCTCAAGTGATCACAGAGTGAAAGGAGAGACAGACAGCAGGAGTGCTGGGTACTCCCTCCCACCAAAACCCAACCAGATCTCATCTAAGGTCTCAGGTGGAAGTATCTCTGTAGCCTGAATAAATACACAGGATGCTCTCTGCCATCAGGAAAATATTCAAATCTCAGGGCAAAAAAGAAAGTTCGGGGCAACGTAAGACCACAGAAACAAAGACAGGGGACTAGTTAAATATAAAATCAAGCAAAAGCAGACTTATTCCTGCTCACATCTTTCAGCCCTGGCACTCCTGAGTGCTCCCACGGCTGCCATTCCCCCTGGCGAGGTGACAGTCCCTCCACAGGGCCAGGGAGCAGGCTCAGGGCTGGAATGAAGGTGCCAATTCCTCCCTGCACAGCCCTGCCACAGCTGCAGGGCTCCTTTCCTGGCTCCCACTTGTTTGTTGACAGTAACAGCTACCAAGTGCCAGATGCTTTCCAGACATTCGTGAAGGGCAAATCCTTTCCCCGGGAGCTGCAGGTTTGCCTGTATTTAACTCCTGCTTTAAAGGCAACAGATGGAGTAAACTGTGACCTCGAGCAGCTCCGGCACCAGGAGCTCCCTGTCGGTGCCCTGCCCGTCCACTGGCAAGGAAAGGCAGGAGGCTGAGGGGCACATCCCGTGGGCCAGGTTGTGGTGGCCACAGCTGCACACTGCAAACCCCCTGTGCTTGGATTTTTAGAGTCCTCTGACCGTCCCTGGGCAGAGCGTGTGCCAGGCAAACCCGGCGGCTCCGGAGCCACCGCGGATCCCCCCGGAACCCCCTCCCTCGTCACAGCAGGTGCCACATTCCCATCCCAGCCCCTCCCGGGCCACCCCAGCTCGGTGCCAGCTCACCTTGGATGCAGAGCCCCTCGGTGCAGTTCTCTGACTCCTGGCCCAGCCCCTCGCAGAACTTGCCCCCGTTGCGGGGCGGGGGAGCGATGCACTCGCGGACCCTCAGGTGCTCGCACTCGGGGCTGCACACAGACCACTCGCTCCACACCTCCCAGCTGCCATCCACTGCCAGGGGGGGGAAAGGAAAACCAGCGTCAGCACCAGCACTGCCGTGGTTCCAGGTCCCACAGGAACGCTTGTTCCACAGCTCTCCCCCATAACCCCGCGTTGAAAGCAAATTCCTCCCAGCTAGAGAACACTTTTAAGTAAAGTTATTATCTTAGGGTTTTGTGCTTGTCTTCCTGCTGTTACCAAAATCAGCTCCCCCTTTCCCACTCCCCCAGCACCCCCCCAGTCACAGGATTTCTCACTCTGAGCAGTTGCTGGTTCATTGTTGAGGGTTCTGTCAGTGCAAATCACAGCGTGGATGAGGAGCCACAGGTGCCTGTCACTGCTGCCACAGCGGGCTCTGAGCTCCAGCCTGAGCAGGGCTGCATTTCCCCCTTCCCTCCTCTCAAAGCCCAGCTCTGCCCGGCACCAAAAACCGTCCCGGCCAATGTGACACCCTCAGTGGGGACTCACCGGGGCAGAGGGAGGTGCAGGTGATCTTCTGCACGGACATGCCCTCGCAGAAGGCCCCCCCGTTGAGGGGGGCAGGGTTGGTGCAGGTCCGGGAGCGTTTCTGCCAGCCCCGACCGCAGCGGGCGTTGCAGTTGGACCACTCTGTCCACGACGACCACCCCCCGTTCACTGCAAAACAAACCCACAGAACGGGGCTCAGGCCGTGCCAGGGGGGGCAGGAGACACCCAGCAACAAATCCCACCGGGGGGGACTCCTCCTGACAGCCCCGGGATTTAGGGTGTTAAATCCCACTGGGGGGAACTCCTCCTGACGGCCCCGGGATTCGGGGTGTTAAATCCCACCACAGGGGAACTCCTCCTGACAGCCCCGGGATTTAGGGTGTTAAATCCCACCACAGGGGACTCCTCCTGACGGCCCTGGGATTCGGGGTGTTAAATCCCACCACAGGAACTCCTCCTGACGGCCCCGGGATTCGGGGTGTTAAATCCCACTGGGGGGGACTCCTCCTGACGGCCCCGGGATTCGGGGTGTTAAAGATACCCAGCTGTGCAGCGGGGAGAGCCCCCCCAGCCCCGTGCCCAGGGGGAGCCCTGGCACTGACCGTACACCACCACGGTGGCAGACATGCTCCTCCTCTTGGCCACGATGTTGGCAGCCATGCAGGTGTAGTTGCCCGAGTCCGAGAGCCGCGCCTGGCGGATGATGAGGTTGTGGTCGGCCCTGGTGTCGATGTTCTCGTCCAGGTTGGAGTCGATGGGCTCCTCGTTCTTCAGCCACTCCACCTGCACGGGGAAGGAGCAGAGCAGAACATGAAGGAGGTTCTCAAAACGAAAGCACCTGGGCTGATCACCTCATTAATCTTGTTAATACTTCCTTTAATTGGTAACTCAGAAAGGCTGATCTTGGCTCAAAGAACACGGAGGAAAATCTCAACCGAGAGAGAATAAGAAATATTTTTAAGCACTGCTCTTGGTGCTCTGTGCTTTATATGGTCAAACAAGCAGCCAACTGTCAGTTAAGGTTCATATGAGACTGGGATGGCACGTAAGAAGTATTATTAATTCTATTTTTCTGAGAAGAAACAGAGAGACACTGAACTGTCAGTAAAGAGACACTGAAGTGACACTACAGACAAAATTGCTTGACACCACAAACAGTGGAAGTGCCAAGTCATCATAACAGATTCCCAATTTCCATAAACATCCTTAAAACAGAGGCCATTAATGTCTGCTGTCACGGCACATAACACCACGAGATGCTGGGTATAACATATTTCAAGGCATCTTCTCGAGTTCACCGACCAACACGTCTCTGAGCAGCCCCAGGAATCATCTGCAAGGCATTTCTCCACTTGAAACATTAAAAACAAATAGTTAAGGCATGGCAAGCTGCTCTTACAGAAGTGAAAAATTAAAAATAGAAGCAAAACCAACTGATTCTACTAAAAGGCTGAAGACATGTGAGTCATTTTACTGGCTTTTCTGGACCTGAAGGAGTTATGGCTGGGCCCTGGAGTCAAATACCCTTCTCAGCTCAGTTCGGATGAATAACCTTGTTTAGTAACTTGTGGAAGGACTTGGAAGTTGATGGTAATGAGTTTATGGGTTCGGGAGCTACAGGCACTCATTAGCGCTCTGCTCTGCGCAGATGGGCTGCAATTTGTGCATTTTCCACTTTATAAACAAAGCTGCAAAAGCTGACCAGCAAAGCCAATTACAGCCCGGGCCAGGCAGCAGGTTCCCCTTCCAGGAGCATCACTGGGGTGGGGTGGCTGGGACAGGAGGTGTGGGAGGGATGGATCCATCCCCCCATCCCGGCTGGAGACTCGCCTGGGAAAGACTCTGGGTCTGGGGCACTTTATCCCACGCCAGGACCATGGACTTAAACAGTTATTTTACACATCATTTTACACACCTGGGTAAAAGAGTATCCAGCTCTGACTCCCTTCCCTGCCATTCCTTCTCCAAGGCAAGGGACACCTCCCCTGTGCCAGCAGTGCCAAACCCTTCCCTGAACAGCATCTCCTGGAGCACATCCCACTTTCCTCTGCTCTGAGGCACGGAACAACCAAGGAATCTGCTGCTCAGTCTCCCTTCTGCAGTTAACTTTAATCCTAATTGTCCAAGGGGGTTTCAGCACAGAAATTAGGAATGCAATTTAAATTATGGAGCAGCCACGGGAGCATAAATCAAGTGACAGAAACTCGATGGCTGCGCTCAGAACCGAAAGCACTTTCTGTGCAGAGAAATGTTCAGAGCAGTGACAAACACGTCCAGCACTCCCAGAGTTCACTGTGTCACCAGTGCATTGATGAATTTTGCATGTTGGCTCTGAGCAGGGCAGGGATTTTGGGGACAGGAGGGTTCAGTGACCCCATTCCTGTCACTGTTCCAGGAGGGAGCACACTCTGCTCCCGTGTTTGCTGGGACTGAGAGGTTTGGGGAATGAAAAACACTGACACTAAAGCAAAGCCTTTAGAGGAATGATGATCACAGCAAAGGGAGAACATTGAACAGGCAGGACATAAACACCAAAGTGTTGATATGTGAGGTCAAACCAGGGTTTGTTCCAGGGGACACGTGGCACCTTCTCCTTCTCATCCAGAGTGGATGGCACTGCCAGCACTCCCCTCCCTCAGCCTCCCCCTCCCTCGAAGAAAACCAGCCTTATTCCGAGCCATTCCCTGCCTGTGCCTCGGCAGGGGGGTGCTTTCAAAGATGGAGAACTAAGGGAGGAACTCCTGGGATGAAGGGATAAATTTAAAGGGCTCGTGGTGACAAAAGATGGGTGGCACTGGCAGGGATGTGACCTTTGGGAGAATCCAGCCCACACAAATACAAACAAACCAAGCAAGGAAAATAAAGGCAACAAAGCATCTGCAATGTCTCCACACTGAAATGAGCAGCAGGGTCCTGAACTGCAACCTCTGAAGAGCAGACTCAAAAGTCATCAGCATTTAACTCCCTTCCCTTTGTCACCAGTGGAGGTCACACAGCTGCTTGTAACAGAATTACATCCTTTTCTTCTTAAGAATTAGTCCATCTGAAGATCTTAAATGTTTCTATATTGAACCAGACTTAAAACTTGCTATAATATACCATAAGTTTGTATAAAGATATCTGGGGTTTTTTTTTCCCTGAAATTCAATCTGCTCAGAATTAAAATACCCCCACTGTTTCTTAGGAAGGCTAATCAGGGAATGATCTGCAGAGGCAGTGCAGGGGCAGATGGGGATTAACTCAGCCCCTCCGAGCTGGGTGGCAGCAGCAGCCGAATTAGCATAATCAGAAATTTGTTCCAATTACAGAAAGCAATTATCAAAGCCCAGCTTACAGCACTATCAAAGTAAGATCAGCTAATACCCCACATCCCACGTAGATTACAATGGGTGTCAGAGAACTCTTCTTCTCCAAAAATAAACCTCATCCCACCTCAGCCATGTCTCTGTCTCCTGGCACAGGTTAAACCGCTGCCCATCTCAGGGGGGGCAGTTGTGGCCTCCTCGAGAACAGAACGTTACACCCCAAAATCTGGGCTGCTCTGGAGCCCCAGGGTGAGACCACAGGAGCATTTTTTCCCCCTCAGACCAGCACAGTGTTGGCCTTTCCACAGGCAGGCATCACCCATGAAATTCCAGGAGCAAAATGACCCAACTTCCAGAGGAGGAAACAACACTCCCCTGGCTCTGAATCACTGCTGCTCTGCCAGGTTTGAGGGAGGCTGCACAGCTGGCAAACCTCCTGTAAGACTAAAGAGTGTTCCTATTTGCAGCAGCAGAAATTACTTTTGCTTGGCTGGTTTTAATACCAAACTTACCTGAGTTATTTATTTTAACATTTATTATTTAAACCTTGAAGATGAGAGCAGGTCAGAGGGCAGGTATGGCTCTGGAATGGTTTGATGCACCAGTTCTTCATCAGCTGCTCAGTGTGACTCAAACATCCCAGGACCTGGCTGCACAGGACTCAATCTCTGGTTCTTTCTGGTGATCTCATTTGAGGATACAAACCCACCAGCAGCAAATACAGCCCTCAGCTCTTGTGGGCACACGTGATAATTTGGCAGGTCAGAAGACAAAAGACCTCAGTGCCCCTGTTTCTGGCTTATCCTCTCCTGCCCTTTAAACACAACATCTGACTTTCTCGTGTGGTCAATCCCCAGAGTACATATATATCAGAGATAATATAGTTAGAATGTCAGCTCCTCTTCAAGAGACAATCAATTGCTCTCTCCATGCAAGATAAACACTTCAGGATCTGGAGATGGGAAAGGTCAACACCTGACTCCTGACAACACAAAGGTTTCTTGTAGCATCGTCAAGATCCCGGTTTTGAACAGTCTCCCTCTCAGCTGGAAAAGCAGCAAACACCTCCTTACCTCCCTCTCAGACCTAGCAGGACACTCCTGCTCCTAAAAATTCAAGCTGGAGAGGTCTTGCTTAGTGTTACAGCTGGGCTGGGTGAGATGGGCAGGGCAGTGCCCCAGTTCCAGGGATGCATTAAAGGGCAGAATCTTTGTTCCTTTTATTTTCCTTTCCTCCCCAGGACTCAAACAAGCAGCACTAAATCACTGTGGGAGTTTAACACAGAACAAAGGCCAGTTTGGTGGATACAAACATCCCCTTTATGATCCCTTCCTTGTTTCACCAACACAATCAGCCCCCATCCATCTCCCAGACACGGGAAGCAGGTCGGCTGTACCTGCTGCATCCCTCAGATTAATCCACCCAGGGAACACTGCTCCCCAATCATTTAATCACAGTGCTGTCACACTGGGCTGGTAAGCATATTTTTCCTTCATTAGATTGAATGTATAATCTCATTACACAAATCTGACACGCTGACTAACTCATAAATCAGCCCGGGCTGCTCCTGGTCGTGCTGGGGGAAGCTCAGAGGAGCGTTTGCTTTGAAGGGATGTACTTGGTTCTTGCAAGAGGGATCATCTGAAAACCTGAGTGCTGCTAATACCCATTTTCTGTGTTATTATCTCCCTTTATGTGGCTGCACAAACCCCCACCAGCAAGGGAAGCCACGAGAGAAATCCTCACTGGTGGCAGCTCCAGGCTCGTCCTCTGAGCTCTGCCCACTCTGTGCTGTTTGTGTGCTCTGGAACCCCAACCAAACATTCCCAGGGATGGAAAACCCAGAGAAGGGAACACAGGCTACCATGGGAGGGGGTGAGTCAAAATGAAATCAGAATCAGGATAATGGGAGAGGTGACAGCCTGGACGTGGGTATCAATTTATAGTGGGAAAGGTGGGCAAGGAGCTGACTCAGACGGGCTATTTTAAATCACTGCAATGAAGATCCACTGCTAAATACGCCACTGCTAATGGCACATTGTCTGATTGTTAAAGATATCATCAGATCCCAAAGAAGTTTGCCCTTTTTCCTATTTTTGGAGGAATCGGTGTCTGCCATTAACTGGGTTTTATGGCCATGCACAAACGATGAATGAATCAGCACTAATGAGCCCAGAGGTCATTAGGTGGGCTTGGCTGGGAGCTTTCCAGGGGGGCAGTGCACACCCAGGACCTGGCTCCAGCTATTTTATGGTGAGCAGCAATAAATGATGCTGGTGAGGCTCAACCCCTGGTCCTTTGGCTGCAAAGCCCAGCAATGGGGGGGAGCAGCTGAGCCTCAACTGCAGCTCCTCTGTGTCTGAATAACTCAGAGAAGGGGGTGGAGTGACCCCCAGGTCTCATCCTAAAGCAGGCAGTCCACACTGGCTGTTTCCTGTGGATCAGGAATTTCCCTGTGGATTAGGATGGGCAGAAACA